GATGTCGTAGATGCCGTCGGCGTAGATACCGTCGGCGTTGATACCGTCGGCGTAAAGACATGATACCGATTATTGTACACTGTATTATAATAAATCTACCTACATTTTGCTATTGTTGTCGACCATACGTTTTCAAATATTCATGCCTACACACACGGTATCCGTTCAGAATCGTATAATAGAGTAATTTTCTCAGTTTGTTTACTTGTTTCTATATTATAATGTTACGATTCTTACCAATAAATTGTGTATACCTAACCTATGAACTAACCATTAACTGAAAGATGTATCAATCCTCTACAAATGGTTTTTGATCAAACGACCGTCATATATATTATATATTTTATATAATATATAAATATATATATAATAGGTTCATATAGCTTTGTTATATGGACTAAAATTATAATACTGTATAGTTTTTTGGACCTCAGCACAATGAAAAATTTCTAGATACAGGCCTGATGTAAAGTGCACGGTAAATATTTATTAGTAGAGAAATTTCCTTCCTATTCTAAGTTATATGAAAGATCATTTGTGAGAAATTCATTTAAATTTAATTACTTGCATAAAATATTTAGATGGATTTTTAAATTTAATTTATAAAATCTTTGCAAGTGGTAGAATATAATGGGTACAAGTAAGGCCGTACTTAGAATTTTGAAATGCTCAGTTACTTATGAAATGCAGACTGCCCTCTTTTAGGAATGAAAAGAGTCCAGTGTTAAATAAAAAAACATTTTAAATATAACTAAAAAATTGTAATAAAATAACCAAAAACAGGAGGGAAGTGGGTAGCCGCTCTACACCATCTCTGTTGTAAATATGAATCAACTGTATACCTATTCGTGTAAGTAGTTACTATAATCGATTGTATGAATTATTGCACACAAAAAACGATTCTGAGAAGAGACGGCATATTATTATATAAATATTAAATAATATATTGCTATAAATTATTATTATATTAATTTATTTTACTATTAAGTATTTATGGGAACACGATATGAGTTAACAGCATTAAATTAATCCAAATGTTTTGAAAATTGAAGTGTGTATATATAATATAAAATATAATAGTATAGGTATAGGTACATATACATTTTAAATCTCCACGGAAAATATTTTTTAATTATAACAAAATAACTATAATCTTT